CCACATAAAATCCATGAGGAACTAGACAGGGATTCAGCACTCTTACGCTGGCATAGCTGTAGCAGCTCTCAGCCTTCCTGACATCCCTGAATGGGACACAGCATCACAGAAACTGGGATAGTATGGATTATTGAATCAAACATCTGACTGGTTTGAATAAACCTCACACTTGCACAACAACGAAGTCACGCCTAGTCGCGGCCGTTGCCGCGAAACGAACCCTCCGGATGGATGGTGCAGGTCTCTCCCCGCTCAGAAAAAAAACATTTTGCTGCTTTAAGAACAAAGGCTGCACGTAGCAGCAGCCTTGGCCTGTTCCCAAAGGTTAACCTGACGTGCTGAGCCACAGCTGAATTATTTATGATTAGTGGGGCAGTTTCTATTAAGGAATGAGCACACAGGTAGCGACCGCTAGGCCAGCAAATCCTACAAGGCAGCACAGCTCACGTCTACAAGGCAGCTCATCCAGCTCCTGCTCGGGCCACAGGGAAATTTAATTATTTAGGTTTCTCAGCTGCTGCATAAATATCAAACATTGGCTCATAGCTGAAATGCAGCTGCTCAGCACAGGGCAAGAGGAGATCAGCAAGGATGAGCGAGTTGAGGCTGGCCAGCACAGAAGAGGAGGTGGGAACAGGAGCTGAGCTTCTCTCAAGAATGAATTTCTCCTGAAATTTGGGAAAAAGGAAAATAAAAAGGGAAAAAGGGGGCAAAACTTGGAACTGGATCAATCCACAAAACTTCTACTAAGCGTGAAACAGCCTTAAAACAATGCCAAGAGAGTCCAAGCAGCTTCAGTTCAGGAAGTGATGAAAGGCCTGGGCTCATCACCACTTCCCAGTCTCACTTCAATTAAACATGACATGCTGCTCAACTGAAGTAGACAAAAAATTGTGCTGCTATTCAGCACTATGATATTCCACTGACTTTTCTGCTTTCAGTAAATTCAAGAACTGAGGAAGTGGGAAAAACAATTTTCCTAGTGCAATTCTCCATCCATGGAAGCTGAGACTACAGCCTGATACATGGAAATTCAAATGCACTTAACTGATTTCCATCCCAGCTTTCCAAAATACTGAGTTTTATTCAGCTTTGAAAGCAACACGTGCAGAAATAAACTTGTTCCATGTTTCTGTCTGTACATAAAATGCTAAAGTACCTCTGCCTGCACATAAACCCCCATGTGTTTAAAGCTGTCTTCTTTAAACAAGTTTTCCTGCATTTTAATTGCATCCCAATTCCCAGGAAATTCTGTGTGACACAAAAGTTAGGTTAAAAAGAAAAGAAAAAGCAGCCACTTAATAAGGAAGCACTACTGTTTCTGTACCTTACTGTAGAAAATGATTAGCCTAGTTATGAGATATTAAACTTTGCAACTGCTTAACTGTGTATTATCCTGGCTGTGACACTCATAGATCCCAAATTCCACATGCAGGGGAAGGCAAGCAGACCTTTGACAACAATCACTGTGATTTGTCTGGATTATTCAGTCCCATGAGGCACAGTGTGCACCATCCTGGACAAAAGGTTTTACACTTCTTAATTTATTATCTTTTTATTAATTAAGAGAAAAATTTGATAAAACCTTGTATAGGTTTCCAGCTCAGATATTCCTCAGCTCTGCGATATTCCTCAGTATCAACTAGTTTCTTTACCCAGTTCCCTCACGCAGTTCTTGCCAGCTCTGCTCAGTATCAGCTCCCTACAAGCAAAGATGCATGAATGACACGAAATGCTCCTTTTCTCTTCCTCCTCATAGGTGCAGTGAAAGGGAACATGTGCTCTCACAGATGGAAATCACTGCCTCCTGAAACAACACGCAGCACTAAATACTCAGGGGTAGGAGCTGCTCCGAGCATTGATTTCTACAGATAATTATTTCCATTAGTGCCTCTCCAAAGGGGAGTTAAGGAGAACAAAAAAGATTTTTTAATTTTTTTTTTTTTTTTTTAACAGGCAAAACAGCAAAGCAGCAGGAACAAAGAGCATTTTGAAAACCAACTTGGTTTTGTCTCGGCTTTTTGGAGGCAGGTCTGTGACAGGGAGACATCTCCCCTGGGATGTGTGGTGCCTTTCTTGCGGCGAGCAGCGCAGTCGGGCAGCTCGCCAGCCCTGCTCCTGCTGGGCAGTGCTGCTTTGAGTGCCACACAGCATCTCTCCCCTCCTCCAGCCCCCACAGCCTCGCACCGCACTCGGCTTGGTTTCTGACCATCAAGGCAGAGCTCAACAGACTCTGCTTTCATCTCTGCCCGAGACATTTGCCGCATCAGGTTGTCACCAGCATCGCGGGCCCCCTGTTTATCTAGACCGGCCCAGGAGGCAACTTTGCTCACCGAATACATAATTCATCCAGCACCCCTCCTGCTCCTCGCAGAGAGCCACGGGGGTGAAATCACCAACTGAGGAGAGGAGATTAGGGCTGGGGGAAGATTACAGCTCCCTCCTCGTATATCAGGCAATTAAATCGCCTCGGCTCTGCTCCGTTGTTTTCAGAAGCTGCTACCAGCAGCTCCGGCGGCTGGCAGGGTGCAAGGGAGCGCTGGGAGGCTGCACGTGGGCTGTGCTTTGGAAGGGGTTTAAATTAAACCATCTGGCAGGGCTGGTACCCAGGGCTGTGGCCTCTGTCTGCTGGTTAGTGATTCAGGGAGCAGAAAGCAGCCCGTGCACACCCTGCAGAAAATAGCCGTTTTCCCAGGCAGCTCCTGGAGGTGAAGGTTTTCTCCCCAAAACGCCTTGGACACACCAAAAAGTTTGTCCAAGACAGGAGACAGGTGCTCACTGAACCTCTAGGACAGCAGGGAATTGCTCTTTTCCAGCTCCCAGGCTGGCATGAGCCTTTGGAAGAAGTGGAAGGGCACAGTAGGTGACCACAGTCCATGGGCAGAGTTCCTTGGGAGAAGGAAAACACGTTAGGAGAGGGAATTAAAATAATGAGCACATTTGTGAGAATCTGCCCGAGGGAAAATAGTTTAGAAAATTAAAAACTCCATAGTAACAGACCGAAAGCTGTTAACCAACATCTAATTAAACAAAAACTGCAAGCCCTACAACAAAACACAAAAAGGAGGGGAAAAAAATATAAATCCATGCAGCAACCAAGCTTACCCAGACCAAAACAAGTACTAAGGAAATAAAAATGAAAAATAAACCAGTTCAGTGACATCTGAAGAAAAAAACCTGACAGGACCTACAGTGAGTAGGCAAAACCAGGGTTATGCTGTATACTATCAGGTCTTGCTTTTTAATACCCATCAGAAGAAAAGGACAATCTCCAGGGTCCTCAAATATATTCCAATACAATGCAGAGTAGAGACCACAGCTTGGATCTCAACATTCTGGAGCAAAAGACCAAAAACCAAAACTCCAAAATTCAACCACCACGCACACACACATGAAAAGGGAATCTAGAAACACGGCAGAATTGCTTTAGTGACAAAGTTCAAAGATCATTTGGGGTACTTTGCACATTAAATTTCATGTTAATGCTGACAAGATACAAGAAGAGGTATTTGAGATGAGATATTAGGATAACAGCACACATAGGCTCATGGAAGAAAAAGAGCATCACTTTTCTTATCACAAAGGTTTTCATTACTTGCAGAGTTTATATTTATCACAATAGATCTACTCTGAACACTAATAAATCATTTGAAGGCAACCTTCTATAACAAAAGCTGTAATGAAGACTTTAATAATAAAAACAGGACAAGTTTGACCTGAATTTTCACATTGAATGTGAATATTTTCACTTCAAATCCCTACTGTTTCAGGCTGGTCTGTGTATCTGAGAGAAAAACCTGGCTGCATGATGAAATTGGAAAAGGTCAGGACTAACACAATTACCAATCAGTCTAGAAGACTTTGGATCACCTCATCTCTTCCTGTTCAAGTGACGTAGATAACTCCAAAACACACAATTAGTATAAAAAGAAAGATTAAGAAAAGGAAGCCTGGAAATTGGTTTGAGGCATTGAAAAAAAGAAAAATTAGATGCTTCCTTTGAGTAGCTACAGAATCTTAAACACAGCCTCCAACAAGACAGGTGTCTGCCAAGGAAGTTGGGAAAAATTACCCCCTTCCTGCTGAATTATTATAACTTTGGACTTACAGGGCTTTGAGGCAAAGAGAGGGGTGAAAGAAGAGCAGTTCTTTACCAGAACACGTAAAAGAAGGCAAACAAGCAGCAGTGACACCGAACAGAACCAGGATCCCAGCCTCAGGTGGTGGATGGGCTGCAGCAGGAGCCTGGCAGCGCAGCCACGGCAGCAGAGACGCAGCAGAGACTGGCACACCCAGGGTGGACAGCCAAGGGTGGAAAAGCCTCTGGAGCTGTGCCAGGAGCCTGCCAGCAGCCACAGGGCTGCGGGCAGTCACTGCCCATCAGGGTAGCTAAAAGCCTGAAGTGCTGTGAAGAACAGCAGGGCTGGGCAGCAGCAGCCGGGCTCCTGCGAGCAGCCAGGAAACACTCCCTCTCCCTCTCCCCCTGGAGCGGGGTCAGGGTCCTGGGTTTTCCGGAGCAGATGGAGAGGGTCCATCCCAGTGAGGCTGGGTGTTGGAAAGGGCCCAGTTCAATGGCTGCTCTTACAAGCAGAGGCTCACTCACGGTGAGGAGAAGCAGCGCAGGACAGAACTCCACAGTGGCAGTGAATTCTCTCTGCAGCAACAGCAGTCTGGCCACAAACCCCCACCTGCCTCCCCTCCGATCCCGAGAGCATGCCAGGGCCAAGCCTGGCCACTGACCTCCAGCCCAGGCTCTGGTATCTCTGCATTTCCCGAGAGAAATCCCCCCAGCTAAGGGGCTAAGTAGAAAACCCCACCCGTTTTCCTCCCCACCCCACAATCCCCCCTTCCCCTGCCACATCTTTTGTCTCTCTTAAGTATCCATCCTTCCCATCTCTTAGGCAACAAATGGGGAAAAAAATTCTCTGAGAAAGGAGAAAGAAAAGGAAAAATCCTAACCTACAATACTCAAAACCACAAAAGAGCCAAAGGAGCAGTGATAACGTGCAGAGAACTTTACTTTCATGAGCTGACGAGAGAATGTGATTAACCACCTGTGCCCAGTTGCCTTTCTGGTTCGGGTTGGTAGTTCCCCTCCACACTTGACAGAACAAAACTCAAATGCAACTCCTAATTTAGGGTAGGTGCCCGAAACCACTCCCTGTCCCTCAGCGCTGCTGTCTGGGGACAGGAGCACAGGTCTCTCTCCTGGGCAGGCAGACGTGGGGAGCTCCTTAGCAGATGATGTAGCGGACGAGCCTCGAGCTGCGCAGCTCTCTCACTCTCTGGCAGTGCCTCAGGATGTTGAGGATGCTGTGGAAGCGCTTATCCAATTTCAGCCGAGTGAACTCCTTGATATCAGCCTCCACAATAAAAAATGCTCCTGGAAAACAAACAACGATTTTGTTACAGAAACGATTCTGTTGTAGGATACGCTCAGCATTTCACAAGTGACAGCACAGCCTCTTCTTCATAATTCCGCAATCTACAATTCATAATTCCACAGCCAGCAGTAGGATGGCTTCACACTATATTGGGAGCTTTGCTCTACTTTTAAAATTTGCCATCAGAAAGAGAATTGCCAGCCTTCCCATGAAGTTCAGACTCTGCACCATCCACAGGCCGCGCTCCATGAGCTCTGTCTCCCAGCAGGCACTCAGGTTCTGGAATTAGATCTCTGCCATAAGTACAGAGCCCTGATTGCATCAGAGCTCTGCAGCCCACCATTCCCTTGACTTATATCAGATTTGGAAAAGAATAATTCATCATTACTTAAGAAAATTACAGGAAAAGGCTAACCACTTGCAACAGCATCGTCCCTGTGTCTCCAAGAAAATGGCACAGGGAGGTCCTGCATCAGAGGTGAGAGCCTATCCCTGCTTGTAGTTGATTAATAACTTCCATAAGCAAATTGTCATTAAAATTCAGGCTGCCCAGGGCAGTGGTGGAGTCACCATCCCTGGAAGTGTTCAAAAAACCTCGATGAATGGTTTAATGGTGAATATGGCTTCTCAGCTGACAGCTGGAATTTGTGATCTTAGAGGCCTTTTCCAACCTAAATGCTTCCTGGATTATATGTAGCACCACACTTCCAAGTCTAATGAGAAGGAGGACACAAGGGTAGGGGTGTTCCATCTTGGAAAAAAATTGCATTCTCCCTCCTTGTTTCATCCTTAACACAGAGGCAGTGACATCTTAGAAAAGATGGAGCATCTCTTCCTCCCATAAGGTCCATCCAGTTTCACTGGGAAATAGCTGATCCAAGCTGGAAAGCTGAAGCTGCTGGTAAAGAACTAAAGTCCAAGAATTATCTAAGTGTAATGTCCCCCAAAATCTTGCTTAGGCAGAGCTGAGAAATAATAGATCATATTTTCTCACAGCCTGGGCCTCTCATGAGAGTTGGTGACACACGGGTCTCGCAGGGAGTGGAATCTTCCAGAGACAATAACCGGCAGAATCTAGAGATATTTCCCCAGAGAGGAACTCTGCTGGGATCTCAGAGCTTGTAACGCCACCAGATCCACATACAGATGAGAAGTAGGAAGTCTGTTTACTAGTAAAAGAAGGAAGAACTGCATTACTGCTCAAAATAGAACTACTGTAGGATAGAGACCATTTACAACTTCCAGGAACGCCAATACACCCAAACAGTGCTGGGAATCCAGGCACAACCTGCCTGCTGCCTTCACAGTCTGTTACATCTGAGGGAGCATCAGAACGTCCTGAATTTTGATAAAACAAGATTCCTTCTTATATTTGCTCACAATTCAGAGTGGCAACTCTCAGCACAGCAGGATCTTTATTGTGAAGAAATCAGAGCTGGTGAAGGGTGGTGTTTTGGTCCACGTGCTAAACAACCAGCTAAGCTCACTGAATCACCTGAGTGGCTGGAAGTCACCCTGATAAACCAGGCAGCATCTTCTCTCATCTTGAAATCAGAGAAGAGGTCACTGGCAATCAGCCAGGTTGAGAACCAGTGGGAATCCTAAGCACAGACACTCACAGGAGAGATTTAAGCAAACAAATCAATGAATGTGGAACGTCATCCTGAAAAATGCAATGGATAAAGACATTTAATCATTCTGTGCTGGCCAGATAAGAACCATCTGACAGCCTGCCAGGCCTTTTCTCTAGACTTTCTAAAGGATTACTCACAAAAAACCTAAACAAAACTATTTACCTCACAAATACACGTGCTTTATCAGATGCTGAATGTCCTAGTTTCCTAACTGAACTTCCCAAGATAAACAAGAAATAAAGATCATCTCTCAGGTACTTAAAGAAGTTCAGCACTTCAGTTTTTCGGACTTTAGCTCCCCGGCTTTCTGACAGAAAACTGTCTGACCACCTGCAGCTTTCTCAAGCTGCTAGAATGGTTTCTTCACTGCAGCCCAGACTACTGTGGATCACAGTTCGGACAGAGCAGCACTCCAGGCCCAGGAGGGTCCTTCTAGTGCTGTGTTCAGCCTCTTTTCTACAACTGTGGGCTCAAGCTCCTTACTACTGTCCCAAGGATTAGCAACAGTGCTACCAAATATATGTTGTAAATTAAATTGGTGAAGCCAGTACTTTAAGAAATCCAGATGGATGAAAACTGCTGTTCAACTGAAGCAAAACATGCTTAGAGAGAAACCAAACCATCACAGCCCAAACCAGCAGTCAGTCACACAAATTTATCCAGCTGCATGTGCTTAGAATGCTTTTAATAAACCCCTTTGCAACAATGACCTTTGTATGACAACTGAGACTTCATCTGGAGTCCTGCGTCCAGCCCTGTGACCCAGCATGAGAAAGATAAGGAGTTACTGGAGACAGCCCAGAGGAGACCTCTGCTCTGGAGGCAGCCTGGGAGAGCTGGGGCTGCTCCCCTGCACAAGTATTCAGGCTCCAGGGAGAGCTGAGAGCCCCTGGCAGGGCCTAAAGGGGCTCCAGGAGAGCTGCCCAGGGACTGGGGACAAGGCCTGCAGGGCCAGCAGCCAGGCAATGGCTTGCCAGTGCCAGAGGGCAGGCCCAGCTGGGATATTGGCAAGGAATTGCTGGCTGGGAGGGTGGGCAGGCCCTGGCACAGGGTGCCCAGAGCAGCTGGGGCTGCCCCTGCATCCCTGCAGTGGCCAAGGCCAGGCTGGACAGGGCTTGCAGCAGCCTGGGACACTGGAAGGTGGCCCTGCCATGGCAGGAGATGGAAGTGGCTAATCTTGAAGGCCATTTCCAACCCAAACCATTCTGTTGTGATTCTGTGTTTATCTTACAGGTCTCAAAGTGCCAGCATGTCCATCAGATCAGAATTCCCTCCCTGCAGAAGAGCTGCATTCAGAATCCAAATGTCACTGATGTTATCGCCACACTATAATATCTAGAGTCTTGGAGAGGGAGGGGAGGGGAGGGGAAGGGAAGGGAAGGAGGGGAAAGGGGAAAGGGGAAAGGGAAGGAGGGNCCTGGACACCCCCGGACACCCCCGGACACCCCCGGAGCTCCTGCTCGCCCCCCTCCTTCTCCCCCCTCGGAGCTCGGGTGTCCATCGCACCCTCCCTCGGTGTGGGTACGGATACAGCCGGTATCGTTCATAAAAACCGAGATAATATTCACACTCTGGGTGTTAGCTGTTAGGGTATTTGTATTCTACACGCGAATTCGATGGTTCTAAAATCCCAGAACGCTTCGGGTGGGAAAGGACCTTACAGCTCATCTCCTTCCAGAGACAATTTCCATGGATCAAGGGATCCAACCTGGCCTTGGACACGTCAGGATCTGCCTCCTGCTGGCAGAGCTGTTTAGGGGGGAAAAAAAAATAAATTAAATTTACAAAACCAGCCCAAACCTGCCTCACATTCAGATATCTTTATTTATTTATTTTAGGGGGAAAAAAAAGTAATAAAAAGAGAATAAAAGCCTCTTAACCAGAAGTATTTTGATGCTCCTGGAGCATGTCAGCAATGGGATAAATCCCACCTGTCCACACCCCTCCAGCATCCCTGCAAACCCTGGCTGGGGGGAATTCCAGAGGTCCAAACAAGGAAACCTCACAGCCCTTCCCAGCTCCTCCAGGGCTGGAAACATCCAAAGTCACCTGGGTCTGTGCCCAGAGAAGCCCTTGGAAAGAGTTCAGATGGGTGCTTTGGGGGTATTTCTCTTATTCCAAGAGCTGACCCAGCCCCAGTCCCCAGCTCAGGCTCCCTGGGGTGCAGGTGTGCTCTGGGGTGACCCTTCTTGTGTTTGCCCAGGAGCAGAAATGAAAATAATCTCCATAAAGAAATGTAAGTGCCTGAGCAAACACGGGCTCAGAATGTTGCTCCAGGCACCTTCCAAGAGCTCAGCTCCCCGCTCCTGGGAATATTCTGGATTGGGAGAGACCTCAGTCCTGCCCCTCGCCCCAAATTCCAGCTCTGTGGAGCCCCAGGACACCGAACAGTTGTGGAAAATCCGCATTCCCAGGAAACTCCAAGCTCACAGGAAGGAGCTGCCATGGCTGGGCTGCAAAGGGGAGGTGGAAAACTGATGGAAACCCCACAAAATGAACCAAATTCTAATGGGAAACCCTGGAAAAGTGACTTTGGGCAGGGATGGAAGTGCCAGGGAAGGAAATCCCCTGTAAAAAACCAGGCACCAGCAAATCCAGCCTGGAACAAACTGAAGGAAGCGGGGAAAGTTCATGGCACAAAGACAGTTGAGAGTGTAAATAATCAGCCACAATGGGGAGTAAATGAGGAAAGGGAAGCAAAGACACGAGGAGGGGAGGGTGGGGGTGATGCAGAGGGGCTGAGCCAGCATTTTCCAGCTTTTCCAGAGGTGGCCAGGCCCAATTTTTATTGATGCAATAAAAATCCCAGCGCTGAGGATCCACAGGGACAGCCCCAGCCCTGCGTTTGCTGCTCATGGCAGCTCAGCCCAAACCTCTCCAAAGCCCAGTTTTCCTCTGAGATTTGATTTTTTTTTGATTCACCCCCAGCAAAAATTGACCCAGTTTACATCAACAACCCTTCCCAGTTTAACTGGAGTCTGGTGGTGCTGAGGGATTCAGTTTCTCAGGACATAAATCAGCTTTTGTTTTTGGTTTTGACAATGGGGACAGATTTAAGGCGCAGCTTTGCTGACACTTTATAACCCGGGTTTTTCTGTGGCAAAGGAAACTGGAGCTGCTGCTGCAGCCTGGGCCAGGTCCTTGCAGGCAGCTCCCAGGGGAATTCCTGCTGCTCCCCCGGGATCTGCCAGCCCTGGGCCCCTGGCCAAGCTGGGCTGAGGTGCCTCAGGGTGCCAGACATTTGTCACTTAAAAATCGGGCTCTGATAAAAAGCCAGAGCGCTTTCAGCCTCCCACAACCCCTCTGGTCTTGCAGGTCCATCCCCTCAGCCTCACATTCATCCCAGCTTTAAAAATGGGGATAAAACATAGAAATCCAGAGCCTGAAGCAAATATGTGGAGGGCAGCAGGAATATCTAAGGAGGTGAGCAGAGACATCTCTTCTTTCTCCCCTGGTGGATTGCATCTGGGTTTTCCAGAGGATTTTCAGCACAGAAGTTCATTGCACCTCTCCTTTTTCTTTTCCTCCTTCTCTGTTTTCTTCCTCTTCTTCCTTCCTTCCTCTTCTTCTTTCTCTTTTCCTCCTCCTTCTTTCTCTTTTCCTCCTTCTTCATTTCTTTGAATCTTCTTTTCCTCCTCTTCTTCTTTTCCTTTTCCTTTTCCTTCTCCTTCTCCTTCTCCTTCTCCTTCTCCTTCTCCTTCTCCTTCTCCTTCTCCTTCTCCTTCTCCTTCTCCTTCTCCTTCTCCTTCTCCTTCTCCCTGCTACTACTGCTATTCTTGTTATTTTTATTATTACTACTTACACCAGACTATCCATTCCCTTTTGGAGTATTATTTGAGCAATTAATGCATTTACCAGATCACTAAACAGAAAATAAGAAAGAGGCACCAGAAGATTGCTGTAAACTCCTGGAATCTCCCACTTTTCTGGTGCTGGCTATTTCTCTTTTCTGCCGAGGGTGGGAAGGGTTTGCAGTGCTCAGATGTTGGAGCTGTGGGGATGCTCATCCCAAGAGCAGCCATGGACTGAGTCCTGCAGGAATCCCTGAGGGTTCCAGCCTGGGAATGAGGGCTGGGATTGTCTGCTCAGCACAAACCCTTTTTGTCAGGAAATGGAGATTTTTTCATTTCAGCCACAACTGAAGCCCAGTGAGCCCTTTGCCCTCAGCTGAGGGATGGAATTAACGCTCCTGTTTATCCTGAGAGAGAATCCTCAACTCATAAATCACTTTTCAGAAAATCACTGTGTGCTTCAGGGTGGAAAAGCCCTTTAAGAGCATCCATTCCAACCATTCCCAGCTCTGCCAAGGCCACCCTGGCCATGTCCCCAAGTGCCACATGCCACAAACCCCTCCAGGGATGGATGGAGCCCTGTCCTGGGCAGCTGTGCCAGGCTGGACGCCCCTTTCCAGAGGGAATTCTCCCAAAATCCAACCTGAACTTTCTCTTGTGCATCTCGAGGCTGTTCCCTCTCCTCCTGTCACATTCCCTGGGATAAGATCCCAAATCCCTCCTGGCAGGGAGCTGTGCAGAGCCAGAAATTCCCCCTGATCCCCCTTTTCTCCAGGCTGAGCCCCTTTCCCAGCCCCATTCCCTTCCCTGGCCTCGCTCCAGCCCCTCTGGGGAGCCCAGAGCTGCCCCAGGGCTGCAGGAGCCCCAGCCGGGGGACAGGGACACGGTGGCACCGCTGGATTTGGGATAAACAGCAGGGATGTTGTGTGGATCCCGGGATCCCGGCTGCTCCTGCATCCCCAACCCTTTCAGAGGCCACTTTTTCCCAGTCCCACCAGTACCCGGTGATCGTTCCTCGCCAGAATCCACAGGGATCTGCTCCAGAGCCGCCTGCAGATGGCAACAGCATCCCAGCCCCACGCTGCTCTCCCGGGATTCCTGCAGGCTCCATCCCGCCCCTGGATACACCGATAAATAATGATATTCTTAATAATGAAACCGAAATAATGACCCAAAATAATATCAAATAAATAATGATATTCTTAATAATGAAACCGAAATAATGACCCAAAATAATATCAAATAAATAATGTTATTCTTAATAATTAAACCAAAATAATGACCCAAAATAATATCAAATAAATAATGTTATTCTTAATAATGACCCAAAATAATATCAAATAAATAATGTTATTCTTAATAATGAAACCGAAATAATGACCCATAATAATATCAAATAAATAATGTTATTCTTAATAATGAAACCGAAATAATGACCCAAAATAATATCAAATAATGAAGTGATGTTGTAAGAATAAAAAAGAATCGAATCACAAAATAATAATTAAAAAAAAAAAAAAAAAGTGGTTTATTGGGATGGTTGATTCTGGAGGAGTTGGTGCATGTAAATTTGGAATGTGGGGCTTTGTTATCCCATCCCAAATTCCCAGTGGGTTCAGGAGCCCCCTCTGATCTTTCTGCTTCATCCCTTGGGCACGTCCAGCATGGGATGGGATAAGGCAGGAAGAGCTGCCTGTTGAAAATGCAGTTTTCATTTAGTTCCCAGCTCTTTGTTTTGCCATGACAGCAGATTTAAACTGCCAGAGGGCAGGGTTAGATGGGATATAGGGAAGAAATTCCTTCCTGTGAGGGTCAGGAGCCCCTGGCAGAGCTTTCCCAGAGAAGCTGTGAATTTTTTTGCTGTTTTTGGTGTTTGGGGGAACAGCAGGTCAAGAGCACTTTGGGGGAAAGTAGAAATGAAAGGAGAAATGGAGTTGTAGCTTCAGATACTCATTAGGCTGCTCATTAAATACAGATTTTACTCTATATAATTGATATATATCATGATAAATATATACACGTTTATCCTATGTGGGTTGCAAGAGTGATGGTCAGAAAATCAACATTTCCCCTCCAAATGACAGCCAGGGACCCCCAGGGGAGGGGATACACCACAGCCACAACAAATATCCCTGATTTTAGCAGCAAAACCACAATCCTGATGGCCAGGGATGCATCCCAACGCCTCCATCCCCATCCTGCAGCATCCCTCATTCCATAATTGTGCCCAATAAACTCGAGCTGGGTTTGATTTGAACCAGGTCCTCACCAGCCAGGATTTTATCTGCCTCTGGAACTGGCAGCATCCCCCCTGGAGCAGCACTGGAATAATTCCAAACATCCAACATCCCCTTTGGCCTGGAAGAGCCAAAATTGTGTCACTGCAGCTCCTGCTGCACAGAAATGGGGGACAGCCTGGCTCTGGTGATTTTTGCTGGATATTCATTGTTTTTACCCCATTCTGCTCCAGGCTGGGCCATCCTGGAGCTCCAGAAGGTGACAGGAATTGCAGGAGCCACCAAATATTTTGTTGTAACTCATTGGGAGGGAGGAGGATGCTCTGGTGGATCAGAGCTCAGAGTCACTGCAGATTATTTATTATTTGCTGTTTTTTGGTGGTTTTGGTTGATTTGTGTGGAACAGGAAGGTCTGAGGCCATCACTCACCCCCAGCCCCTTCCCCTCCCGTGTCTGAGCTCAGCATCCCCAGCCTGGGGGACCCTGAACCTCAGAGCCACCCCCAGGGAGCTCTTCCCTGACTCCCATCCCCGTTTCCAGCGTTAAATGTCACCGAGTGAAACCCAGCCCGAGCAGGAAGCCGGGGCTGGACACGGCAAATCTGCTCTTGAGGCTTGTCAGGAGCCACCCACCTCATTTTCCAGCAGGGAGTATTTGCCCTTCTCCAGCCATCCCACCAGTTTGTGCTGCCCAAAAGGGACACAGCAGCATCCAGCAGGATCCCCAAGGCCTGGGATGGATCCAGGGGGGGCCATTCCAGAGCTTTTCCCTGTTTTCCACGCCGCCTCCAAGGCTGACACGGTTGTTTAAGGAGAGTAAAAATAGCAGGGTCAAAGCTCTCCTGCCCCCTCATCATCCCCTCCTTGCGTCTGCATCTCTCCCTGAGGATGCTTCCCTGTGGAACACACAGCCCTGTGCCCACCTCTCTCCTGGAAAAACAGCTGGAAAGGTTTTCTCCCTTTTAAAAAAATATTTTCTCCCTTTTCCCCCCCTTTTTTTAACAGCCTTTATCAGCCTCAGTTGGGGGTGTTGGATTTTCCCCCAGGAAAACTCTCTGGCTGCAGACTGCTGCACAGGGAATCCAGGGAATTCAGGTTCCTGTGGACAAACTGGGGTGGGAAATGTTCTGTTTGGTAAGGAATAAAATCTCTTCAGAAGGAAGGGGAGAAGGAGAGGGAAATGGGAAATGGGAAATGGGAAATGGGAAATGGGAAATGGGAAAGGGGAAATGGGAAAGGGGAAATGGGAAATGGGAAAGGGGATATGGGAAAGGGGAAATGGGAAATGGGAAAGGGGAAATGGGAAATGGGAAAGGGGAAATGGGAAATGGGAAAGGGGAAAGGGGAAGGGGAAATGGGAAAGGGGAAATGGGAAATGGGAAAGGGGAAAGGGGAAAGGGGAAAGGGGAAAGGGGAAAGGGGAAAGGAAGGCTCAGAGCAGAAGTTCTAGCATTCTGTCCTTCTGACCAGGGCAAAAATGGAAGGTGGGTGCCATGGTGTTGTCAGACAGCTCTTTTTCTCTGAGACAGAAGAGAGTTTGCTCCACTCTTTATGCCTGGACTTGGAAACATGAAGGCATTCTAAGGACATCAGCAAGCTTGACATGTGCAGCACACATTCAGGAATAATTACACACTTGTTCTCAAGAGGAAAGGCATGCCAAAAATGAGATTTTAATATCAGAGATTTACTGTCCCACATATTTTTGGAAAAATTACCTGTAAGTGCAACTTGGTTTTCAATTGAAAGAAAGGTATTTTGGTTTTCATTTCTTCTATGCTTTTAAGAGAAGAAAACTTCTTAAGATTATCAGATAAACTTTTCCACAAAGCCACTGCAGCACAATCAATTAGCCAGATTTCCCAGCTTCAGAACAAATTTTTAATAGTTCATGTCCAATCAACTTTAAGATCTGAGAACTAATTTCTGTGATTTGGTTATCAAACTAAGAATTTCCAGAACTTGTAGTGATTCCAAACTAAATCTTTGTGCAAAGTTTCTGCTATGACACACCATCAAAGGCACATATTTTCAATGAAAACATTCAATAAGTGACCCAATCACTATGGAAAACTCTTCAGTCAAAAATACTGAAAAAAAAAAACAACAGTATTTTTATTCTTCTGCTGCAACATCCAAGTGTTACACATTTGGTACTAACAAAGGAAAAAAAAATACCTTTTGTATCATTAGTTTCTTCTTCTATAAACCTGTGGTAGAGACTTCTGGCTGGTGCACTCATAGACTTCAGAGGCTGATACAAGATCTTGTACTTTTCCACCACGGCCTTGTTCATCTGTTGAACAACTGCATTAACCTGATCATATGTTATACGGCCTTTCATATACCTACAAATAAAAATTAGAATCAGTAACTAGAAAATCACAAAGTTCTGTGTTTATTCTCTTTCATCAGCCTTAACTGAACAAGCCATTCCTAGTTAGAGGCAGTTTCTTCTCCTTTGTGTTAATGAATACACGTAGCACTTAATTCTGTTCATTTCCATGGTTGTTTAACAATCTTAAAGGTAAAAAGGCCATGACAGAACTTAAACCAGAAAGATAAAATATTAAGAGAGCTAAATTTAAGAAGCAGAATGCATTCAGTGCTTAAACTGTAAAAAACTTTTCAAAATGGAATAAAGGTTGCTTTTATAGCATACCACTTAAAACTACAAACACAGAAAAATAAAGTAACTTCGCAGAAAACAGCATGAAATCAAATGTTTGCCTAGGAGCATAATTTGGTTCATATTATCACCATAAACAACCTGTGTTTGGTGTTACAGCTATTTGTGTTTTAGCAGAGCTGCCCAAAGTCTGGTGGTGGGTGTGGAGCAGAGCCTGAGCACAGCGGTCCCATCCATGTCTGCCATGGATATATTGTATATATTATATATTATAAATTATAAATAAATAAATATATTTATTTCTGGTTTTGTTTTGGATGTGGCACTCGGTGCCATGCTTTAGTTGAGGTGTTAAGGCATGGGTTGGACACTCAACAATCTTGAAGGTCTCTTCCAACCTGGTGATGCTGTGATTATTTGGGGTTTTTTGAAGAAATACTAGTTTTGTGTTGCCTTCTGTATGTGCAGCCTACTGAGCTGTGCAGATATCGTTCTGCACCACCAGCACCCATTTCTGAACCCTCAGAGCGTTTCATAACACTAGTACTGGAAGAATAAGGTCTGTTGATAACAGCCTAGAGGTACAGGAAGCATGGAAGATAAGGAACAAAGTGATGTGGAAATACTAGAATACTAGGAATATTTGCAAGTAAGGCTATTCAGTATTTATAGATGTAAAGCCATGCCTTCAAGGAAAAGGAACTGTGCTGCACACTGAGAAGCCATTATATAAAAATGAAATCTGAAACTCAAATGACAAGCAGTAAGCTGAATACAACACAACCCCTTCCCCCTCAGAATGGCAGAAAGAGCCAGGCCAGCCTTGCAGCATGCATTGTCCTGTGGCCTTCATTCAATTGTCACAAGCCAAACCTGGCTGCTTGTGTTCCGCTCAGTATCGGTTTGCAGACATGAGGGATTACACAGGTGTTACAATTCATTTTAAGAATGAATGCTTTAGGTCAGTAGAGCAGGTGGCTAAAAGCTGTGGGACAGCAAGACTGAAAAGATCAATGAATAGCAAGTTCCTCCCTTGTTTTAATCTAAACAGACTGGCTCAATCTTTAGAGAACATACAAAGAATTAAAAGCAGAAGTAGATAATCAATTACAAGTTCAGTATTCCAAACCAGAATTCGGGCAGGCATTCTGAAATTGCCAAAATAAGTGCTGTAGATTTCAACAGCAGCCAGTACCCTGCCAGGGAGACAGGCCGGCAGGAGGCGTTTAAAAACTGAATTCAAAGCAATTGCTCTGCCTCCGAACTGAGTTTGAAACTTAGTAGCCACAAAGTTGCTTGCAACCAACTTTGGACTTGATTGATAATTTGACTAATTCAGCGTTGTAGGGGCAGCCACGTCGCAGTTATGAAAGTGGTGTACTTTTCATGGTGATAGAAGCAGCACTACCACCCATGAGACGCAGCCACAGCACAGACACAGCCTGTAAGCACGGCAAGGCTTTGCCTTGTGCATTAACTGCTGTTTATTGCTCTCTCTGCCTCCCTACGCCACAGGGGAGTGTGCAGTGCGAGGATGGCTGAGCCCAGAGGTATAAAATACCTTTATTTAAGTTCCTCTGCTCCCACTGTCAACACACAGACAGTGAACACACTTAATAAAGCCAAGGAAGCACCTCAGCTCATCCTGAGGCTGAAACAGAGAGGCAGGGCTGGGTTGCCTAAACCCAAAAACTGAATGCTCTTTGAGAGGCCCTCAGGCATCCAAGATGCTTTAATCTGAAATTAAACTCTGTCAAAACAGAAGGGAATTTTTTATTCTGTGCATAAGTAAGGATCATAAAAACTCCAGCTGTCCCACAGCCCTCTCATGTTTCTACCCAAACATGGCTGGCAAACCCGTTAATGCTGACATTTATTTCTGTCCATACGTACAATCATATAAAAATACAAAGTTGAGAAGTTCCAAATGCAGGCATTTAATTTAGATTTAAAATAACTTTAAAATCTGCTTCACTATTCCAAATGCATTAAAATTTAAAAAAAAAAAAAAAAATGCAGTCAGTTTTTTTCTTTAATCCACAGAAGCCCTTTTTCAAAGCATTTTTTCCATTTTTGCTCCACCAGAGCACAGTGCTGTTCCTCAGAGAAAAGAATAACATCAATATATCACATATATACCACTCTAAAAGAGATATACCCCCTGCTCTCTCAAAAATGGTTAGGCTAAAATAGCCATGTATTCTCCCAAACCACCATCTTCTGAGAGTTGAGAGCTATAAACGAACAGAATCTAAAATACTTTCTGCAGTAAGATTTTTAGAAGGCAATAAGAATTCTAGACACGGAATAAAACAAGCGTTTTCCTTTGCCTCAAAGTCAAAAGTTAACAAAGACAGGTACTGTGAAATGTCCTTTATCTTCCTCCAAAGAGCACCTTCCTGCAACAGATTTGAAAGGTAAGATAATTTGCAAGTTTTTTATTGTGCAAAGTGTTCTGTTTGATCAGGGTGCTCCACATCTGCCCCTTAACACAGCATGTACCTTTGCTAAATACCAGCTGCCCAGTTCTAGGACTATGAAGTCACTGAAGCCTGATGGTGTTTGGAATAATTTTCCTTCATGTTCAGCACAAAGCGAATGAAAACAGCCTCAATTTTTCAGTGACCACCTCCCAACCCCAGTGCTCACTTGAAGAACTGGGCCCTGAACCAAATTCTCATTCTTCCGAGAGAATACATTCAGTGTAAGAGAATTTGTATGGAATTTGTATGACAAGTGTTTGCTGCTTAGATTTGGTCAATCAGTATGTGAAATTGCAAGTACTCCCTCAATCTTGTACTACAACATTGCCAGGCAACAGAAATACTGGTAGATTAATAGATCTATGTAAATTCATGTAAATTTTCCTCCACAGAACAAACATGCTTCTCCCATCTGAATAAAACTAAATTATTTCTAGAGCTGTACCAGCACAATCTAAGCCACAACCTTTCCACAATGGGTGCCTTCCAACACAGCTGCAACAATTCCACAAGGGTGCCTTCCAACTCAGCTTATTCTAGGGTTTTGTGAATCTGTAATGAATAGAAGAGGATGTGCAGCTCTCTGTCCCCATTTCCACTTTCAAGGATTATCATAAACTCCTTTAGGTTGGAAAAGCTGTCTGAGATGATCAAGTCCAACTTTTCCCTCAGTAGTGCCAAGGCACTAAACCATGCCCCCAAGTGTCCTTCCACCTGTCTCGTGATGTGGAAGATCATAGCCTTAACTGGAAGTTAAAACAGTATTCAGCTGGAATGGTTTGTCTATTTCTCTTGCCACAGCAGAGATAAAGACCAAAAATTCCCATCCTCCAGCTTTATCCTCCATTATTTTATCAGGAGAGAACTACCTAAGGGAGTAAATTCACAAAATACCTGAGATGTTCTGCAGAACAAAACTACCAGGTGCATGCTCTTCTGAGAAGTAACCATAAGTCCTTTATCATTAGCTCAACATTCAGGATAAGGAAGAAAATGGGTATTACTCACCTGAAAATTTTGAAGGCTATATAAAAAATTATTGGAAAGCCTCAAGTAAAGTACAGACTCAAAAAGATATTTCTTATTGAAACAGGTATTGTCAGGGAACACAGTGAATCTAGAATCCCAATAAAAATTCAGCCTTAGGCATCAAAAGAAATGTCTTTTTGCAGAAATATTTACCCACGCCACCCAAATGCCATTTAGGGAGTTATTCCTGTATGTCAGACTTCAGAGAAGGATATCCACTAATCAGGTCCTGATGTTAGGAGAAAACACCCACAGCTTTCTATCCAGAAATTTGGGAATTTCTGTGCAAAGTGGTTTTTTTGCTTTTAACAAGTCTGTTCTTCCTGCCTCAAAACAGATTGGTAAGCCAAGACCTGAAGTTTCCAGAAACCAATAGTTGGGTCAAATAGAAACAGCATTTATCATTATTTTTCCTTCTATATGTAAACAAACCCTTCATCTTATGAGATGATGGCTCTTTGTTTTTTAATGTCAGTTCTCAAAACAAGATCAGGATCCACCTGTTAGCTAATAAATCTCTGTTCATATAATTACAGTCACTTTTGAGGCAAGAGGTTTGGGTTTTAACTGATCAGTTTTCATTCCCAATACCAGCATAAAAAAGAGCCCAATTAACTCTAGTCATTCAATTTTCAAGTTTGCTAGCATAGCATTTAAACTGTTTGGAGCTACTATCATGTTTCACCCCATGAAATATTTAATCTCTGTCAGTCCCAGTTCTGCAAGAGGTCACTCTCCCAAACCCACGTGTGCCCCCCAAATTGGTATGCCAGGGTGCAAGGGAAGCCAGGCTTACTTACACAGGAACACTTTCAAACTCCTCTGCGGTTATTAATGCTGCTTCTTTAATGACTTTTGTCTCTTTTGAGTGTTTCTGTGTAGATTTGGGTTCAACAGCCTTTGTTTGTCCTTCATGTTTCACAGTGATGCTGTAAAATGAAGGAATATTCATTCAATGTATAAACAGCAGGTAAGTAGGAAGGAGAATTCCACAATACAAGCAAGTCTGCTTAGTCACAGACCTAAGTTTCAGCCTGTTAGGCTGGGTGAACACAATTAATGATATTTCACAAAAGAAACCTCACTAAAACAAGCCTACTGTGTTCCAAATGGTATCCTTCAGCTGACTTCAGCGCAGCTCTTGGTTTCTCTGCTACAGAGGCTGCAAGCAGGTGAGTTGGAAGCAGTCCAAGTGCAGCACGGCACAGCTCAGAATTCAATGTACCATTACATTTCACACAACACAAGGCCTGGCTTTTTGTCAGATGAAACACAGCACAGAGCTGCAGCTGTAACGGGCAGATTTTAAATACTTCATAGCTCTTTTTTAACAGGTTCAAATCTTGGGAAGCCTGACTCATCCATTAAACTTTTGAAGCAAAGAAATTCAACACCACCTAACAGACTGGGTTTTAAAAATACTTTTAAATTTTTCTTTAAGGCAAGATCCAAAAGGTCAAAGAATTTCCTGATTTATTCCTGATCATTAGAACATTATTTTTATAAATTCATCCTTCCTCTAAACCCTCAGCCTAGAGCCTCAAGCCCCAAGGGATCTGCCAGCCACCCACCCAGCTGCTCCTCAGCAGGACAGCAGAGGCGATGCATATGGCCAAATCCACTGTCATCAGAACACGTGGACATTACTGGGATGTGCAGCAGAATGAACTAGCAGTACAGAGCTGAGCTGGACATGGAAATGATCCTCTGCATGGATCCGGCTGTCCCACAAGACATGCTTGTCGGACGTGGGGTCCCGCAGCAGTGAACGGCACAGCAGTGCCCCATCTGTCGACCGCAGGGCCAGGATTTGAGGTGTCACTTGATGCGACACCGCCAAGCCCAGTGTCCCATTCCCGAGGAGCACAAGTGCCGTGGAGAGGACAGCGAGTGCCACCTGCTGGGTGACACAGGTGACACAGGCACCGGAGCGGCTCTGCGCGGTGACACAACACAGAGCCCTTCCGAAACGCGGGACATCTGCAGCCAAGCTTACTCAGATGTCATCATCTGAAGAACATCTGTTTGCATCTGAGCAACAACAACAACAACAACAGGAATCCTGGCATGCTGCAGCTAGCAGGGAATGTCAGCAAACAGGAGGAAAAGGGAAGGGAGGTGGATTTTGGGTGGTGGTGGAGGTGGGTTTGGAATGAAAGGATAAACACAACAACCAAGGGAAGCAAGTTCACGTCTTGAAACTTCATTCCTCCCACGCTCCAGTCTCCTGCTGTCTGTCACACTGCAACAAACCTTTTCTAGATGATTCCCTAGCCCCAGGCACCCCTCCTTTGTGTTCCCCCACCCACTCCCTGGCCCCTGCCCTGCTGCAGTGAGGTGATACAGGCACAGTTCACCGCTGACCTGAACCATGAAAAGGAAGAACTGATGCTTGTTTACAAAATCTGGCTCTGGTGGAATGAGAAACTGCTCTCAACAAACACGTGGGATTCAAAGACCTTGAGAGATACTGAACTCGCTTTTTATTTCAGTGACATTCCTCTGGTAAACAAGAACAGAAAACCCAAGAATACAACAGGAGAGAAACAATAGCTTAAGCCATGAATCGTTCCGTTTCTCTGTGTGGGTGTTCTCATTTTCCCAGGGACTTCAGGGCCTGTCTCACCAGCGTTCAAATGCTCCTCTGCTTTCTGCATTATCTCACAAAAATCAGTAAACAGCCCGTTAGTATTCACAGTCCCACATATCTGGGGGCATAGGACAACAGAAAGGCCAGGAGAGGAAGGTCTGGGGAAGAGACCTGAAAACATATTTACACTGTTATAGTGGGTTTTGAACAATTATGTCCCTTCTTACACTACCTTGACCCTCCACTGCACAACACCAAGAAGTGACAAAATGGGGACAAAAGGAGAAAGTGTGTTTTGACAAATGGCATCACCATACAATGTACTATTACTCAAGAAAAAACAACAAACTAACACTGACAGAGCAGCGGCTGTGAGCTGGCTGAGCACAGTCTGTAGAAAATCATCAGAAAAGCTTGGCTGGTTTTACACATCATGGCTCTCTCTAGAAAGGGAAGAACCAGCTAAAGTCATATCACAATTAACTTCCTGATCAAAAAGAGGGCAAGATTGTAAGGGAAACCAACACCCCAAAGAATCTTTTGGTGTCAGAGCTGGCATAATCACCAAACAAGCCTCATTTACATCTAAACAATTTCCAGGCGCTGACACAAAGTTAAGACAAAGGATTTCCTACAATAAGAAAGTAAGTTTTGACAGGAAGACAGAACCTAAGTGGTAATTTCTGAAAAACTTCAATTCTTACACACACACAAAAAGCAACATCTAAATTGAAAAGGAACGAGACACCCCTAGAGACCTTTTGAGAGGGTGTTTCCTAAGCTGAGGGGTTCATGTCTGAAGGGTGGAAATAAGAAAAAAGCTTCTGCACAAATCATCCTTTCACCAGCTAGGAACAGTTTCAATACCTACACCAACAACAATACTGCTGCAGACCAACAAAAATTACAGTTGATTTTTCTCTTCTAGAACACTCTTTCCACATGTTTAACCTTTCATTTAGTTGGAATATGTCTGTCGTGTTTTGAGACTGATGCTTCTCTGGCATGAGGAACCAGACCAAGCAGAGCGGGTAGATTCAGAGCACATATTGGATGAACTGAATTCAGATTAATGCACTGACTTCTGACAAGCTACGAGGTACGAAAGAAGTTCTGGGATCCCCAGATATTAAGACTCTGCAAGTGATCCTACCTGACAAACACTAACATCACTCCAGAAAAAAAAGCAGCTCCAGAGAAAGAGATGAGAAACTCAGTCAGAGTTGAAATGACTTAAAAGCCTTCGGAGTAACAGCTGTTGTTTCACATACTTGTCATTTTCACATCCTTGAGCTACTCGACTCTGAAAAGCTTCTTACCACAGCCCTCTCCAAGGCAAGGGGCTGTCAAAGCTAGCTGAAATAAATGGAGGACTGCTGTAGGAAAAAGAGAACAAAACTACCACAAACACAATTCAAAGTCCCACAGAAAGACGACTGAGTTAGAGGTTTTTTGTTTTTTAATTGTATTTGGAAGGGCAGTGGTGAACTTCAGCTCTAGTTTGGGTCAGTAACCCTTTAATCCATAGGCACTGCAGTAATAAAATCAGTGTGTTTGTGATTCTAAAGCAAGGGATGCTCAGATTCAGAGAAGCACTTGCTTTCTACTACATCACACCTACCCCATGGAAGCTGCAATTGAACAACTTGGTATTTCAAAGACTTCACCTGACAGATTTGTTGGGGTGCTAGCACAAGCCTGGACAAGACCCAACTCCAGAATCAATACACACAACAACTTTGGCTCCCAAAATTTCCCAGTCAATGTGGAGTGAAAGGAGCAGAGCAACCGAATAGATTATTATAATTATATATTATATTTTATATATTAATACTAATATAACAACATATTAGTATAATTTAATAGATAACATATAATAAAATTGTGTTATATTAAAATTAATATATTAATATGCATATCATTATTGTTATTATTATTCTGCAACTGAACACTGCCAGGAGCTGCCCAAATCCTCCAGGCTCATGTACCACATACCAGTTCTGGGCTGGTTTAGGCAGATAGGGTGGAATGTGTTCAAGAAGGTGCTGTGCTTCCTTTTGATCTTTCTCGGCAGCCTTCTGGATCTCCTGAAATTAATATGAGACTATATCAGAAATCTGATCCTACTAACATCAAGCAAGTAAAATTAGGGCAATGCTAAATTAATTTTCAGCTTTATTAAGAGGTGTCCTTTATTCTCATCCCATCATCGTACCTCCTCACCCCATAATTTCCCCAGGGAAACTGGTGATGATACAAAGGAAGGAGCATCCTTCCCTGTCCTTGCCCTCAGAATGGCAGAGAAATTTGAGCAGGCAAAAAGAACTTCAGCAATACACCCTCAGCAAGGTCTGGCCAGGGGAACGGTGGTAGTGCAGGTGAGATACTACGGTGAACTCACTTCCATTCCCCAAACAACATTTCCACAAAAGACTTAACAAAGACAGTGCAAACACACAGTGGAATAACAGACAAATATTCTAACTGAGCACTTTGTGCAGCTATTGCAAAGACGTGTAAGCAGAACTGCTCTTTAGATCACCATATCTATTATGATAAAGACATGTTTTCAAGGCCAGTGACAAAGACATGCTTTTAATGGCCTTAAGATGAAGGAAGGTAGACTTAGATTAGATAGTAAGAACAAATTGTCCCCTGCAAGGGTAGGAAGGCCCTGGCACAGATTGTCCAGAGAAGTGTCCAAGACCAGATTGGACGGGGGCTTGGAGCAACCTGGGACAGTGGAAGGTGTCCCTGCCCATGGATGAGCTTTAAGATCCCTTCCAACTCAAACCATTCTACAACTCTATGATTGTTTGTATAAGCCTCTAAAAATACAATTTCTAATGTTCATTGTTCTGGAGGACTGCTTAAAAGACCATCAGCAAGCCTGTTCCAAGCCCCAGTCTCTCTTGGAGATGCAGCACATGCATCCAAACATCACTAAGGATCTAGGAAAAAAAATGTGACACATGTATCAAAAATTCCTTTGAAGCTCTCAGTGTTTTATAACCAGCAAAAGAAAAAAGATTACTTTCAGCAAATCTTTCAGTTTTTCTTGCTGTTTAACTTCAGCCTCCATTGTATTCAGGAGATCATGTACAAGGACCACCTCATGCTGTATTCTACAGAGCACAGACTTGCAGGATTCATGTTCACCTGTAAAGGAGAGAACATTAAGCTACAAAGTCTCCAAGAAAAAAGCAAAATCTGATATTCCTCCCTTTCACAAGCAGTAATTATCTAACTCCCTGCTCCCCAGTCACCATATCCATGCAGGAGAAGCAGCAAGCCAAACTGTCAGCCTTGTACTCTGCAGAGCCAACAGAGTTCATGGAATCATTTAGTTTGGAAAAGCCCTCTAACACCAGGTCCAACTATTTCCTCAGAGCACTGCCAAGGCCACCACAAGCCTGTGTCCCAAGCGTCAAAAAACCACATGGTTTTTAAATCCTTCCAGAGATTGGGATTCCTCCACTGCCCTGGGCAGTTCCAAGGCCTGGCCACCCTTTCCATGGGGAAATCCCTGCTGCTGTCCCCCCTGTCCCTGCCCTGGCCCAGCCTGAGGCCGTTCCCTCTCCTCCTGTCCCTGTTCCCTGGCAGCACAGCCCGACCCCCCCGGCTGTCCCCTCCTGGCAGGGACTTGTGCAGAGCCACAAGGGCCCCCTGAGCCTCCTTTTCTCCAGGCTGAGCCCCTTTCCCAGCTCCCTCAGCCGCTCCTGGGGCTCCAGCCCCTTCCCCAGCTCCGTTCCCTGCCCTGGACATGCTCCAGCCCCTCGGTGTCTTTCTTGGAGTGCACACCAAACCCCACTGTTGCTCTTTTTTACCTATGTCTCTCAATAGGATACACTTCTTAATATTTGAAATCTTCTCATTGATGTGGGAGCATAAGTCTTCCAGGCCTGAGGATCCCATATCCTTCATCATCACACTGAGGGGGAAGAAAAGTGAAAGCAGACAACTGAAAAGGACCCAAGTTGCAAACATTGCCTACAAAAGCAGAATTTTTAGAAGGACTCTGACCTGTTGAAGAAGTGAACATAAATGAAACAGTAAATGGAGTTAATTATCTTTTATCTTACTAAATTGAAGACAGGAAAGGAAGCATAAAGTGACTGGCACTAGACAAGCCACTAAGTTTCCCAGAATTCTGGAGGTATGCAGAGAATCCAGTGTGATATCAGTGCAGCAATTCCTCATGAGACTGGGAGCATCCTTATAATATATGATACAAATATATATCAAGGATAAAATATAAGACTATATAAAGGATAAAAAGGAGTTGGAATTAAGCCGATAAATACCTGGCTTATATAAGGCAGCTTTAGAAGGCTGTCTCAGGAAGAGATCAGATGATTAATGTTTAAAGAGGTGTGTTTTTTTTTAAAACATAATTATGCAAAAAAAAAGTGTTAGCAGGATTATTAGTGAAGTCCGGAAGCATTAAAAAGAGCATTATATTATATATTATTGTATATATATATAATATATATACTGTATTATATATAATTATATAATATTATATATATTATATATTATTATACTATATACTATTTACTATAATAATAGAGTTATTGACCCTATTATAGACAGGAATTGGTTCAAAGAAAAAGTTATACAACGTGACAAACGCCCGCATTTAACACTGGGGCCCGGCACTGAGCGCTCACACAGCTCCCTCCGGCGGCTCACACCTGGAAATTTTCAAAAAGCCTTTATTTCACTTTTGGCTTAAAAATACTATCAGCTGCCGCGCTTGTGAAATCCGTTTTTAGATACCTGCCGCCTTCCCACCCTCCATACCTGCGGGGAACCAGGACACTCCGAGGCGGGTCGGGATTCCCTGAGGGGACGGAGGTTCCCCGCTGCGGCCGGCGCCAAGCGCCCGTTTCTCCTCAAGTTTTACCTGGCGCAGCGCCGCCGCTTCCCGGGCTTCGTCCCGGTCCCACTCTCCCAGCCGCGGGGAGGAGGAGGAACCTCAGCCGGCGGAGGAGGGAGGACGCGGTTCCGGACGCGGTGCCAGCTCCGGTCCCGGCCCCGGTTTGAATCCGCCGCGCTCGGGCGGGCGTTGGGGAGGGCGGGCAGGGCGCGTGCGCGCTGAGGGGAGCGCGAGGGACGGGCGGAAAGGGCGGAGCGGGGGCAGTGCTGGGGAAAAGCGGGCCGGGAAGGGCGGGAGCGGCACTGAGGGGAGAGAGAGGCGGAGTGCGCGGCCCTAAAGGAGCCTGTAGGCCAGGTGCGGGTCGGTCTTTTCTCCCAGGTAGTATCCAGTGATAGGATAAGGGGATATGGTCTCAAGCTGCGCCAGGGGAGGCTCAGGTTGGACTTCAGGAGGAATTTCCTCGTGGAAAGAAACGGCGTTGTGGCTGCCCATGGAGGGTTCGAGTTCCTGGACGTGTCGGAGGATATAGCATTCAGTACTGTGGTCTGGGTGACAAAAGGCGATCAGTGATAGGTTGGGCACGATCTCGGAGGTATTTTCCAACCTTTGTAATTCTGTGAGTCTGGAGGGACTGGGAGGAAGGGCGTAAGGCGGGAGGTGTGAGGGCAGCGGGAGTGCGGAAGGCGTTGTCGATTTTAGCAGCTCTGGGAACACAAATACAGAGTTCACCTTAAAAAAGAGACGTGATTTATTCAGCGCAGCGTACAAGGAAGACGTTCCCACTAATCAACTTCCCAGAGGGTAAAAAGTTAAATCTGTTATACAGTAAAATTCACATGAACACGCCCGCTTACTGCATATCTCCGCCCACCTAATGCATATTTGTTTACGTGAGGTAATCTTAACGCACGACTTGAAACAGGTTCTTCGCTGACTTACTGCATATTCTCCGCCCACCTAATGCATATTTATTTAGTGACGTAATCTTAAGGCACGACTTGAAAGATGCTTTCCTTCACTAGGCAAACTCCTCTTATACAAGTAATGTCACCTAAGTTAAGTTTACGAAAGGCGAGGAAAAAATTAAAAGACACAAAAGACAGTGGGAGTGGGACGAGAGGCAAGACGGCAACGCTGGCCAGAACGGGAAGGGAAGGGCGGAAGGTACGGGACTGCTGAGGGAAACAGGGCAGAAAGGGCAGGAGCAGGGAAGGGAGCCGGGATCACTGAAGAGGGCGGGAAGGAAGGGCGGAATCAGTTGTGGAGCCAGGCGAGACGGGAGGCGGGACGGCTGAGGGGAACTGGAAGGAAGGCGGGATTGCTGAGGGGAGCGGGAAGGAAGGCGGGACGGCTGAGGGGAGCGGGAAGGAAGGCGGGACGGCTGAGGGGAGCGGGAAGGAAGGAGGGACGGCTGAGGGGAGCGGGAAGGAAGGCGGGAGTGCTGAGGGGAGCGGGAAGGAAGGCGGGACGGCTGAGGGGAGCGGGAAGGAAGGCGGGATTGCTGAGGGGAACGGGAAGGAAGGGCGGAAGGCGGGATCGCTGAGGGAAGCGGGCGGGAAGGGAAAGCAGGATCCCGGAGGGAGGCGGTAAGGGAGGCCGGGTCGCTGTGGGGAGCGAGAAGGAGGGGCGGGAGGCGGAATTGCTGAGGGGAGCCGGGTGAGAAGGGAACCCGGATCGCTGAACGCAGCAGCAAGGGAACGCAGGATGGCTGAGGGAGCCGGGCGGGATCTCTCCGAGGCAGCGCCGATAGGCGCCCGCTCCGGTTCTGCCCCTGAGGGCTTTACTCCTTCCAGGGAGTTGTGATAGCATCGACCAACAACCGCCACACCATTTTTGATTGTATAAATTCAGTTTATTTCAGCTTTTAACAGAAGACAAAGCCCTTAGTAAAAATGCAGTTTTCAACATACACGTGCTCATGCTGGTGTGTCTCCATCGTTATCCATCACTTTCTTTTTTCTCTTGGGGTAGGGATGGAGAAAATTAAACAGTTAACACTGATCCCAAGCTAATTTTTTTTCTAATTAGCTACAAATATAAAGATTTATTTTGTTAAGGACAGGCTGCTTATGTCTCCAAGGAAGGAATCAGCAGAGTCTCTGTTGCTTTTCCACAATTCCCTGATACATAAAAGCTCACAGTTTCCTCCATTCTCTATCCCCAAAATCCTGAAGAGCTTATAAACAGATTAACATACAAACGAGATAAAGAAGGACTGTATTAAAGCAGGGATGCAATCCAAGGAGTAAGTAGCTGTGTCCAGCAGAATTAAGAAGAACAGAAAATGTGTAAAAGCAGCGCTACAGCAGGTTATTGAAATTGCTTTGTACAAGAATGCATCTTTTTAACATTTTAGTAGAGAAGTGTGGTCAGGGCAGAAATGCAGCACTAATTCCCCCAGGCAAACCACAGAAAAAGGAGGAAGAGTATGTTCAAAAGCCTTGCTTCAAAAGGATTTTTTAATGCCAGTAATTAAAAGATTAAAAACAAACCAAAGAGGGAGAGAGAGTTCTGAGCCCAAAAGCTCAAAACCTGGGGTTTTTATTGTTTGCTGGCTGCTCCAAACAACCACACAAATGCTCGTTCTAGACTTTAAACATGGTCTTGTGTCTTGCACTAACAACCTCTGCAGTAAACAGAATTACAACATGACACAAGAAAGGGGAAAAAAAACGACGCTGCACAATTAGATACAGAAAAAACATTAAAGATCCCCGTGCCTATGAAGAGTATATAAACCTGGCATTCAGAAGTTTCTTTTGTTGTTTAAACAACATAATGAGAATAACCTGGGGTTTGTGCAGACAACTGAAACCCCTCCTGTGGTCTCCACCAGTTTATTGATTAACGTATAAAGTTTCTGCTGCGTGTTTTTGGGGCAGAAGAAAGAAGGTCAGAAGAAAGTTTCTTTCTGGAGCCAACTACACCACCTGGTGCTACCTGCAGTCACAGGTCCAAACTTAGCGTAACGTTTCAGAAAGCTGTGGTGTGATCACAAGTCAGTTTCATCATCAGGAAGCAACATTGTTCTTTTCAGTTTATTACGCAAACACCCCTGAGTGAAGAGGCTGATATCCACTTTCTTCTTTCTTGCAAGTAAGCACACAGACGCTCAGCATGCCGAAGAACTAGAAAAGAGGAAGTGCACAAGGTACTTAGTCCTGCTGTATTTCTGTTTCAGTAGTCAGACTAAACACTTACATAGCAGATCTGTGTGATTTCATCATATAAAAAAAACTTATTTAAAAATACATCTACAGAAAGTGTTATTTTTGCATACCAATTCCCAGTAATAGTTCCAGCTTGAGTGTTTCTTCTTCAGTTTGTCCCATTAACACATTCACATTAATTACTAGTTATCTTGCCATGCGGAAAATTTCAGTGAAAGGCTAGGGTTATTCTGGGATAAAATGAGTTCTCCAAAATATTTAAGTACGCCTTTGGACAAGGAGTGATAGGAATGGCTTGCCAGTGCCAGAGGGCAGGCCCAGCTGGGATATTGGCGGCTGGGAGGGTGGGCAGGCCCTGGCACAGGGTGCCCAGAGCAGCTGGGGCTGCCCCTGCATCCCTGCAGTGTCCAAAGCCAGGCTGGACAGGGCTTGCAGCAGCCTGGGACACTGGAAGGTGCCCATGGCAGGGGGTTGGGACTGGCTGAGCTTTAAGGTCTCTTCCCATCCAGACCATCCTGGGATTCTCTGATTCAGTGATAAATGGATTCCACTCTGAATTTCCATCTCAAATCCCCTACTATCTTTCGAATCCCTCCCATCATTGTTAGGCAGATGAAACAGAGACAGCTGGAAAAACACAAGTGGGGAACATTCGACTGAGTCTGTTTCAGAGGCAGAAGAAAGCTGAGGCTATTAGGACACTGAAGATGAGAAAGATCCAAGATCCAAGGGCAGACAGTACTATTTTCCATGGGGGAAGAGACGGGAATATTTACCTTTACAATGGCAAACCCCAGGATTACAAGCATGGCATAGCTGATAACGCTCTGCAGGACAGACTCCAGCTCCTGTGTACAGCCCTGCCATGAAAGAGAGAGGTAAAAACACATTAAAAGGTGTTCATCCAGATGGAGGTTTTTATTATTTTCCCAACTCTGCCAGAGAATCAGGGCCTGGTAGTTCCTGTTCAACCAGTACTGCAGATCTGAGGAACTCCATTCTTGTCTTCCAGACCTGATGGCTTATTTCCTTCTGCACGAGGAGAGGCACTGACAAACTGCAATTTACTGACATTTGCTGCATCTCAGTTTCCTCTAGCTCAGGTCACTTAAACAAGTGCCCAAAACTCAGAGCCAGAAGGCCATCAATGGTATCTATAAAAGTCAATTTCGGGGCTTATGCCCCAGACAGGAGAGCCTGGGTTAATAGAATCACATTTGGGTTGGAAGGGACTTGAAAGATCATCCAGTCCCACCCCTGCCATGGCAGGGCCACCTTCCAGTGTCCCAGGCTGCTGCAAGCCCTGTCCAGCCTGGCCTTGGACACTGCAGGGATGCAGGGGCAGCCCCAGCTGCTCTGGGCACCCTGTGCCAGGGCCTGCCCACCCTCCCAGCCAGCAATTCCTTCCCAATATCCCAGCTGGGCCTGCCCTCTGGCACTGGCAAGCCATTGCCTGGGTGCTGGCCCTGCAGGCCTTGTCCCCAGTCCCTGGGCAGCTCTCCTGGAGCCCCTTTAGGCCCTGCCAGGGGCTCTCAGCTCTCCCTGGAGCCTGAATACTTGTGCAGGGGAGCAGCCCCAGCTCTCCCAGGCTGCCTCCAGAGCACAGGGGCTCCAGCCCTCAGAGCATCATAATCCTCCAGATTCAGCATGATCAATCCCAGATGAGTCTGTTCCCCTGCCCCAGATCGGTTTAAACAACTACAGCTATGGGCATATCCCTAAACTCTGCCTGGCGTGCTTCCCTGCACAGTTCCACCTGGCTGAAAATGAATGTGGCCCAGCTGTGAAACCGAGCCCCTCATGCTCACCCGTGTGTTGAGCTCCTGTGGCTGATCCAGATGCCCTGTGCAGTTCTTAGCCTCTTGCTGGCAGCAGCTCTGGGGAACACTGTTGTTCCCAGTGGAATTAAACCACTGCGTGGTCGTCCAGTCACTGTAGTTCTTAACCCCGCAGCAGTGAAGCTACCCAACACAGGACAGTTACACAGCAGTTACTATTACGTAAGATTATAGGTATTTATTACTAGTTACATTATATACATATAAGTAGATATGTTCCTATCTGAATTCCCATGTTGAGTTAAACCTCTCTTAGGCATAATGAGCCAAAGCTGCCACTAGTTTGCAGCAGATTTACAAGCAGTGGTGCTTCAGGAAAAAAATCATAGACATAATAAATCAGTCTCCCTCACACATTATTGCATCCTTCTTAGTTTATTCTTTGTGAAAGCTCCAAAAGGAAGGTGACAAGTGTCAGGGTAGAGTCTTCCATCATCTTGCTATTTTATGGAGCAGTGTTCTCAGCAGCAGTTATTCATATGTACTTATTTGCTCTGATGCAAATGTCACTCATATCAACCCCGTCCCTCACTACATGAACTTCACACCTGGAGCCTGAACACACCAGCTCTGCAAAGTGAGGAGCACCTTCAGCTGGCCTTGGAGAATTGGATGCTAAACACAGAGCCAGGTTCCAGGATACTCATCCTCTCCCCTCCTTTCCCAGCCTAAATTCCTTGTTTAGGATCCAACTGTTCTTTTCCAAACAATGCTTAAACATTTTCTTACATGTTGTTGCAAGTAATCCACAACTGTAGACTCTGGGTTTTTGCCATCATACTTCTCAAAGACTGAGCTCATTGTACCTTGCACATCAGTTTTTACCTGTTTAGAGAGATAAAAACAATGCAGATGGTTTTAATGTGAGAGTTGAAAATTTTATCAGGTGGAAATTGCAAAAGATGCATCCCAAAAGTATCCCAAAAAACTGAGGGGGAAAAATTAGCAATACAAAAAATCAGGCAATGTCTTAGACAAAATTCAGGTGTCACTTAGCCAGAATCATGCTCCTGGGTAGAAGCTTGCCACCCTTGATGGAAAAGCCCTCTGGGAGCATCAGCAACTGTTTAATCCTACTCAGAGACTGCTGTGATATCTGCCACGTATTTTATATATTCACCGTGTTCCAAACAAAGACATCCCCATTCCCATTTGCTCTGCAGGTTGCAAGACAGGGATGAAGTAAAAAACCCAGATAAATTAGAATGATAAAACAATGTGAGATCTATTCTTTACTTTTATATTGGGACAGAGATGCTAATTCTTTGTTTACCTTTTCCCTGTACACGAATCCCAGGACAAAAGCGGACACTTCTGCAATGAAGATAATCAGGATAATGGCCAAGAACTGAAAATAAAAAAGAGAGACAGTAAGAGAGAATCCCACAGCACTTAAATTCAACTGCACAATACACTTCACATTAATTTACAGCAGCGATCACTATCTCTTAATGCTTCTCCAATCGAAGTAGTTCCCAGAAAGTAATTTAGAATAGGAGAAGCTGTGGATGCCTCACTCCTGGAATTGTTCAAGACCAGTTGGGCAGGGTTTGGAGCAACCTGATTGTACTGGATGGTCTAGTGGAAGCTGTCCCTGCCCATGGAAGAGGGGTTGGAAATGGATGAGCTTTAAGGTCCTTTCCAACCCAAACCTTTTGGGAATTCCTGTGTGTGGCTGATCCTGAACTCTGCCATGACATGACCTGTGTGAAGAGCCCATGGAGCACTTCACAGGATGGATGTCAAAGGGGAGAGTACACGGATAAACCAGCAGCTGAGTTAGGTACATTGTGCGCTGCTTGTGGGCTCACATTGCCTTCAGGGCATGACTCGGGGCATGAACTTACTCTAAGTGAAACTTTCTGGATTTTTAAAAGCAATTCTATGAGCAGTCAAGGCATACTTTCAGCACTCAGAGGACTAAAGTCAACAGAAAAACTGATATACATCTGACTTGTATTTCCTCCTGTTCCTTCACCACCTCACTCCTCAAGACTTGCTGCTTCCCGCACTCATCTTCATTTGAGCGAGCTGGGGCAAATCCGGGCAGCTCAGCTGCAGGTGACTGGCACAAACAAGCAGCGCTTCAGCAGTGTGCACCACAACAACCTTTCACTCTGTCTCACCTCCCGAGGTGCAGCCTAGCACCTCCCTGCCAGGGGGAGGCAGACGACACACACGGACGTGCCACTCACCAGCCCCAGGCCGACCCGAGACTCGCGGAAGGTGGCGCAGCAGCCGAGCAGCCCGATGATGAACATCACCACGGCCACGCAAATAATGATCACGGCTGGCAGCAGCGCGTACTTGTCCTGCAGAAAGTTGTCGTAGCTCTTGTAGGTGTTGATGACGTACGCCCCAACATAGCTGAGGCCTGCAGCTGCCGCCTGAAATGCAATAAAGTTATTAGCAGTTATTTATTAAGCCTCTGACCTGGAAACTGATCATGGATTGTTTTCTAATAGTAATTAACAGTAATAGTAATGGCTACAGTGTGCAAAGAAGTAGATGAAAAAATGCTGTATCTGAAACTATTACCTAAATCTAGCCATGCATTCAAACTTAAATACTGAGAAGAGGAAATTCATTTTATCACTCCCCTGCTAATAAGGCACCACTGGAGCTGAGCCAAAAGGCTGGAGTTTGTAGACCTGCACCAGTGACTCTGCAGAACAACCACACTGCCTACCCAGGGTCAAGTACATCCCACCCAGGGTCAAGTACATCCCACCCAAGGCTGCACTTGCAGGAAACAGATCACCACAGTGAGTTGCTGGTTTGGGGCTTTTTTATTTTCTTTTTTTGGGGGGAAAAAACTCATCCTTTGCACTCTCATGAAAGCATGAACCACTAAGGCAGACACAAATGTATCTAGTCTCAGCAAAACAGAATCCCTCCTTTTTTTGAAGGAAACAGATTTCTGCAACCTCTAAAATAATCTCTCTCCCAGAGGGATGTTTTGCTGATTGAAGCCAAGGTAGAGTACACCAGTGGCAGTTGCCCTAGAAACCAAAGACTTTTACCCATTGGACTGGGTACAGCCCTGGAAACACCACCAAAAGACTCAGCCATGCCCTGCCAAACCTCACTGATGCCACAAAAAAATTCTCACAGGCATCAGGATGGCTCATCCACCCTCTGTAATCCTGCAGCACAAGGAAAATTAAGCACCCTCTGTATTGACATTCTGGAAACTTAAGGGAAGCTGGTTTGTTTTCAACAGGTCACAGCAGGATTTCATCAGGTAGCCTTGGAGCAGCTTGTTGCTTCCCCAGCACTGTGTGTTTTAATTAAATGAAACACTCCTTGCGCTGGAGCTAGGACTTGCTAATTCCTTTACCTTGTTTGGCTCTTTACCCTCCAGCCAGGTCTGCTACCTGCCCTTCAATTACCTCCAAGTGCAGGAACATCCTTTGTTTTAGACAACTCCCATCCCATAATCTCACATTCCTGGATGCTGTCTGTACCCCAGAATTAAGTGATGAAGCCAGATATTTAGCACATGACCTGCAAGATCCTGCTGCCCTGGGGCTCAGATACAGGAAGTGGGATATCAGGAAAAGGAACAGGACCACCAATTCTTAGCAAGTTATTTTTCTTCTCCACATGCATCGGGTTTTCAGATATGCTAATGATTAAAGCGGTTCCTAAAGCTTCCTTTCATTTTTCCTTCCATTGAGGAAAATATCTTTCCTATTTCCCTGTCTGCAGGTGGCTGTGGCTTTTTCCTGCCACCCCTTTTTAGGGATGCAGGGAAAGGATGAGACCACTTTATCTCAAAGGGCACCACTGCCTTCTCAGTTCACCACACGAGTGAGGTTTTGAGAAGTAACCTCACCTTCTCCTCCAACACTCTGTTCCCAAACTGAAAGTAGGACAGGAGAAGTTCTTGGAATGGCAGCAGCAGTGAAGGTGGAGGTGAGGACACCTCACCTCCTTTGCCTTCAGTGGCACAAAAAGAATGAAGGTGCATGACTCAGAAAGTGTATCCTGTATTTCTGGCCTGGAAGGCTGGATGCACATGTCTTTGCACCTATTCTCTGTTCTGAAACAGCATCATCTGGGCATGGACAGCCATGGAGAGGCAAGCAAAGATGTGCCAGGGCCTCACCACTATCCCAGGGAACAATTCCTTCCCCATATCCCATGCCACCCCACCCTCTGGCAGTGGGACACCATTCCCCCTTGTCACTCTAGTGTCTTGTCCAAAGTCCCTCTCCACCACGGTGGAGAAACATTCTTAATTTTTCATGCATACTTCATTTTCCATCCATCTCCAGTGTGCTCAACACACAATACAAAGGAAACAGCACAGGACTTGCTAAAGACCAACCAGCTGTGGGGAGCTAAAAAAACCTTGCTGCGAGTTAAAGGCTGCCATGAATAAAGAAAAAAATAAATTATGAAGCCAATTCACAGAAGGCCCCTAAAGCCAGGACCAGCAAAGCTCCATGACTGCAAGACAAAACCAGAAGGTCTAGTGTTAAGTTCAAGGACCTCAAATACAAAACACTTTCACAGTGGGTTTCATTCCAAATACTCAGGATTGCCTTGTTTCTGGTCAGAGACAAAACACAGCCTGCAAGAAGGCTACTAGAATTTCCAAGCTTCTGCTTCCAAGCAGAAAAAGGAAGTATAATGAGGCAAAACCAGAAGTCTTTGGGAAAAGACTTTAAGGAAGATGACGTTTTACCCCATAGATAATAGCGTAACTTCACACATGACTTTTAGTTCAGTGGGAAGAATCCTGAAGCCTGAAGAGCAGGGTTGCTCAGGAATAGAAGGCATCACAGCTAATGATCTCTTCTCCGATTTTTGCAGGTGAGTCCCAGAGATAAATTTTGAAAGCAAAGATGAGCAATATTTTAGAACTTAAACCAGGGCTCTTCCCTTAAGCTTTTCCAGAACTGAGAGAAAATTAAAAATCCAGTGGAGAGAGTTTTTCACCCCGACATCACAAAACCTACAGCCCATTTTTAGACCTAAGATGATGATGATGATGTACTACGATGTACTTCTCTTGAAGTACAAGTCACTTGCATTGCAAAAGATGGATCTCAAAGTATGTCTGATTAGATTTCTGTTGGATCTCAAGGATAAAAACAATCCCACAAACACAAAGGCCAGTTTGAATGATTACTTTTGAGGAGGAATAGATCAAATACCTCCTTTTCACAATGAGACAGCCACCTTCTCAAACCCATGTAAAACTATACACAAGGGTGCTAGGATTATGCCAAGAAATTCGCACTACAAAAATGGTTATTGTAATTCACATTTCTTGTCATTCTCCTGTCTGGCAGCTTACTTGCAGGCAGGTCCAGTGCCCAGCAGGGCACAGACAGTGACTCAAGGCGGATACAGGAGAACAGCCTCCCCTGGGCCACCAACAGCCAGCACAACACCCACACCTGACCCTGTCCTTCCCACACAGCCCCAGCTGACTCACCAGGCCGGCAGGAAACTCCAGTTTCTTTACAATGCTCATGACTTCCTTAAGACAAGGTGATGAGATGAGGTGAAAGGAAAATTTGCAAGAAAACCCCTTTTCACAGCTGGGCAACAGAGCTGCAGCCGCCTCTGCTGCCTCACCCACCATGCCTCGCACCCTTCAAGGACCTAGCGCCAGAACCACTCAATCTTTCATATCCCACACCCTGGCCAGAAAGCAGAAAAACTATTTGAGCGTGAAAAAGTGAACTTCTTGAGGCTGAGTGAGAAGAAAGCCAAGCTGTGACAGTCACCAAATTTTCCCAGGCTGAGGTTTGGGCAGGGCCTGGACTCCAAGCTCTTCCATGCTTAGCTGAGCCAGGGAAGCAGGTGCACAGAGTGCATAAAAACAACAAGGGGGGCTCTCAGTCACATAACACACACAGAGAGCACTGTGAATATTCAATCCTGCCCATGAAACAGAAGCCTGGGCTGTATCATATAGCAGAACAGGACAGCTGCTGGGAAACACCAGTTTTATGTATTTTTAAAAATACAACAAGCTTCTTACTTGCGTTCCACTTTTGCTATATGCTGATGACCAAAAGCACCTACCCTTTTCAGGAGGCTCATAGCCATGCAAATACTTCATGCCACCTGATCACAGACACATCAGGAGCTGCTTAAAGCTTCCTCTATACCACTGCTCTGAAATACATACACTTTATATATATATTTATGTATATATATGTATCTATACACATCTACCTTTCTTTTTCTATCAGGAGGGCAGAACCGGTGCTTCTCCACCTTTACTTCTCTGTTTTCATAAGCCTGCCTTATGTGATGGCTGAGAACAGAGGTTAGTGTTCATTCACAGTTATTAGCACAGCCTTCCTTGTCCCCTGCCAAACACCAGATAAGGTACAGCAAAGGAGACAAACTACCGACCGTGATGTTAAAAGGCAGTGTCTGCTGCTGGGAGGATTTGAGGTACATTTTAAAAGGTTTCTCCCAGCATCCTCCCATTTCAGAGTGTTGATTCTATGACTCGGTCTGTTTCTGTAAACTGACATAAGACTGGTATAAGACTTCCTTTTTAAAAGGCTGGAAAATTAAAAATGCAGAGTAACAAAACTGTAGTATTAAAAGGAGAAGCTTAAGAACAGGGCGAATTCACCCCATGTGTCCAGCAAGATGCAGCCTCTTTACAGTAAAAATTGAGGCTATGAGACTTAAAGACATTTCTCCTTTGTGCAATGGGGCTTTCCCTGGGCCAGCACTGATATCCACCAGAGCACAAAACTCAGACTGGCTGGACTTTGTCCTGTATAATTAACTTTTTATGGGCAAAGACAGGTAAGATAAATAATACCATTTTTCATGACACAGTAAGAGAAGTTGTCTTCTACAGCAAACTACTGCAAAGAGGAATTGGAAGAACTATGAATATCCACCCAAACCCTTTCTGAACCACTGCCAACTAATTCATCATTAGACAGTCAGCTCACAGAGCTGCCTGAGTTAATTTTAAGGCTCAAATCCCACTTTTTCACCAGTATCTTTGCATAGGCAGGGCTCCTCACCCAGGGCAACACCTGATGCTGCTGTTTTGCCTTCCTATCCAGCACCTACGTTCACTGGGATGCTATTGCCTTTTCAGCAGTTTCAGTGGACAGAGTGGGATATGTCACCTTCAATTATTACATTGCCAATTATAATTATTACTACTGAGGTGCCCCCATGCCTCTCATGTCTAGAATCAGCCCCCAGAAACACTGGTCTCAGTTACAGCTGCCCATTCTCTCCTTAACACAGAAGACACTCCATGTCTTTGTTTTTTGGCTTTTTTTTTTCTGTGTACAAGAAGTGTTTTTGATTTACCTTGACAGGTAAATCTTCTGCTTGAAAGGTTTTGTACATTTCCTCCATAAATAATGTATTTTATTACCCAACA